CAGACCCTGTATCAAGCACTGCTCATAGCACTGTTTGGGCTTGTCCGGTGTTGTTTTATTTTTTGTTACTGTGTCCTGGTGGACCTGGTAGTGGATTGTCCATTCCCTCTGCCAAGTCTAGTGCAGTGGTTCTCAAACTTTTGTACTGGCGACCCCTTTCACATAGCAAGCCTCTGAGTGCGCCCCCCCCCCCCCCCGTATAAATTAAAAACACTTTTTTATATATTTAACACCATTATAAATGCTGGAGGCAAAGCGGGGTTTAGGTTGGAGGCTGACAGCTTGTGATCCATGTAATAACCTCGCGACCCCCTGAGGGGTCCCGACCCCCAGTTTGAGAACTCCTGGTCTAGTGGATCTGTTCCAGATGCAGGTGAGGTCTCAGTCCAAGTTCCATGAATTTGACAGCCTGGATGCTGCTGGTCGAGCAGCTTGGAGTGGGATTACTGTTAGAAGTCTGAAAAGGAAATCTACAATAAATCTAATTTTCTGTGAAATGGAAGGGATGACTCCATCTCATCAAGACTAGAAGATTCTGACCTTTCGTCAGACTTTTTGTTCTCTATTTTGTATTTTTGTGCGTGTGTATTTTTAAACAATCTGGGTTCTTCCTCAGTTGGAAGTGTTCGCCTGGTTCAGATATTAATGGCTGATCCATATCCAGTGTTCTGTAAGGATAAGGTGGTGCTGCACCCACATCAAGTTCTTGTCAGAAGAGGTTTCCAATTTCTAGTCTACTGGTATTCTTTCCCAAGCCCCATTCATGACTAGGGAGGCTAGACCACATTGTTTATATGTGAAAAGGGCACTTACCAGGTGCAAATTGTGCAATGTAACTGTTACCTGTTGTTGAGTTATGCAAGGCTGCTGCCTAGACTTATCCACAGTTTTACACATTACTCCCTAGATCTCTTCGATGGTATATATCCTATTTAGAGGGATTCTGGCAATCATTCAGTCAAGTCTTCTCAGAACCCCGTCATCTTGGGGTTTAGGGACGGCTTGCTAATCTACAAGAATGGGGATCCACATGCCCTTGGAGATGGGAGTTTACATAGTAATTGTAACATTTCAATATGATTGTTTGCATGGATCCATTTACCCAGTCCTCCTTCCGTACTTCTTTTGGAGTCTTATAATAGATTCTTAATTTTTTAGTAGTAATGAAGTGACTGGAGACAAGTGTGCCTCTTTATATATTTTCATTGGTAAAAGGTCTTATACCCAGTGACCAGACTGATGTAGTAGAGGGTTTGAGAAACCAAATTAGTAGTAAGTAGAATTCCTTTTTAAACTCAAAATATGTAATGTTCTTGGTATTTTTTTCAGCAAAGTTGACTTAGGAAAAAATTATTTCTGCTCCATACATCTGTTGTTGAAAAATATTGTGCAATTGGTGCATATACAGCCTAGTTCATGCTAATGAAACTATTTGGAAGTAGAAAGATGTTTGAGTGTGGAGTAGGTGGGCTAACCATAGTGACATTGTCTTATGCTTCACTTGGGAGAGCCAAATTGAAGAGTGAACTTCCTCCCTTTCTGATGCTCATATGAGTATGTTGTGCTAACATTCTTTTTCTCCAGCTAGAGTGCCAGCCTTTGCAGTTTGACCTGGGTTTTGGTGAAAATGGGGAAGAGCTATTTTCAAAATATTCCTAGTAATAGACATGATACAATAGTAGTGCATGATAAGTAATGTTTACTTACCTCTCTTCCCACTGCTAACTATCTGTAACTTTTCTTCTCTAAAGTGGGCACCTGGTGGTGCCCTCTGGTCCATTACAAGTGGTGTATTCCTCCTTCATCTTCAAAGCACAGAGGCTCCTCTCTTTTTAAACAAAACAAAAACCTCTCTAGCTCCACAATGTAGCAGTAGCAGATGGAGCTGTTCAGAGAACTGATTGCTCCTCTCACTCCCCAGCCATATGCCCAATTCAGAAAACAAACATTAAATTCTGATTAATAAGCCTTTATGGCAGATGAATCATTTCCACACAGAATATTTTTCTTGTATCTACTTGTCCATTTATTATACAAAAAATGGAAATGAAGACTTACAACAAAGCAAGATTCCAAGGAGACATCAAGATTTTTCAGTCTCTCTGCAGGAGTGCTCTATAAGGGGAAAAGGGATTATTTTCCTTTCAGAAGCAACATAAGGATCAAGTTAGCAGAATCCCTTGAAATTCCCAGACTCTTGGGTAGTTTCTAGATTTGAGTGGGAAGTCCATGAGCTATCCAGAATATTCGTGTGCTAGAAGGCAAGACTACTGAGATTGCAGGGCAATAGCTTCATGCTGTAGGTCTGGGAGTTTGAAGGTATGTGGAATAGAAGTTTTCCTCTGTCCTGGAGATTCAGGGATGCTGAACTGGCACGTGTATGCATTCAAAAGACTGAGTTTCTGGGCCACCAAATTCCTGCTAATGTCAAGTGTTCAGTGCTACTCAGTATAGGTAACACTGTGGATACAGGCAGAATTGCACATGGGCACAGTTTCCTTGTAGAAATTTCTTCTTAGGATTTCCATTGTCCTATCAGAAAGGCTTGGACTCCATGCAGAAATGAGATAGTACTGTCAGTTGTAGACAGAACCAGTATTGGGTGAAACCTGTATGTTCTCTTTCCTACCAGGATTGGTCTTGAATAAACACCCCAAAAATCTTCAGGAAAAGGAGTAATTGCTTCACTGCTTGTTTACAAGTCCAGTGGAGCTCGGGTGGGGTGATGCTATGATGGATGAAGTAAGGGAACTTGAAATTTTATGTGGAAACTTTCTCAGTTTTGAAAGTCCATTTGACTAATGTTAATTTTTTAAAATTTTTATTTAGAAGGCATACTTAGAACAGTTTTATTTCAAAGTGGGGAGGGTTTGCAAGGGGAGAGAATGGTACAGTGCCCTCCCCCTTCTTTCTCTCTCCCTTTTTTATCCTTTGTGTAAAAGGAGTGCTGCTTTGGTCATGGTACAAAAAGACATCTTATTGAATGCTTGAACTAGTCACATCAGATATGGTAGAGCAGTGAATTACCCAGTCTCACAGTTGTAAAGTTTCTGCTGTTTCTTAAGCTACAGCTATTGCCCCAGTCTCAGACCTGCCCTTTTAAGAGACAGGGAATTGTCTTTTTAATATTTATGGAAGCAGGGGATGATGATAAGGGGAGAAGAGCTGAGCTTGGCATGAGCAGTGATGCTTGAAGCCCTAATGTTTTATGAGGTTTTAAAGCCTTGCTGAAGAGGTTCTCAACAAAAAATGGTGTGCACCAGCAGGCTGCAACATGGATGAGACCAGGCTGCTGAGTCACTATGGGGGAGATGAGGAACAGTGTTAAATAAGTGGGGAGATGGCAGGCTAAGCCATGCACAAACCTGCATCTGTAGGAGCTGAGAGAACGTAATCAAGCTGCCTTGATTTGATGGTAATTGGTCTCAAATATGGGGAATCTGAGACATTTGAGTGGGTTTTTTTTGTTAAACAGATGTTTTGGTTTAAGAGGTTGTGAGAGTCAGAGCTGCCGTCAGTGAAAGGGGGGCTGAGAGAGCCAGCAAGAGGGCAGGAGTTCAAGATACCAGTTACAACAAGGACTGGTTAAGGCCTGTCCTGGAACAGTTGGGACCAAAAATCAAACAAAAACCTGGTTGTTGTGGCAATTGGAGGCCTGATCTACAGTTTAAATTTTGGTTAACATAGCTACATTCTTCAGGTGATATGAAAGTTCCATACACTTGAACATTGTAGTTATGTTGACCTAATCCCCAGCGTAGACTCAGCTAGGTCGATGGAAGAATGCTTCAATTGACCTACCTACTATCACTTGGAGAGGTGGTGTTCCTACAGCGACAGAAAACCCCCTTCTGTCGCTGTAGGCTGCATTTACGTAACAGGGTTATTCCAGCATAGCTACAGCGCTGTAGCTATGTCACTATGTGTATATAGTCCCTGTAACATATACATGGCCTGAAAGGGTTGGGATGAGGAGAGTGTCCGGCCCCATAGATTTTTCTTGTCCTTCTGACTTACTCTTGAAGACAAGGACACCATATTTCACCCCAGTGAGCTGAAAAAAAAAATAAAATAAAATAAAACAGCCAAGGACCTCTGGCTTGTTGCTTCCAAAATGCCAGGTATCAACCACATAACTGCCTTAAGCACTTGAAGGATTGCCTGCCATATTGTTGCTGTTGCAACAACGGCTGACTCCAATGTTTCACCTTAGCCTGAAGCACTGACTAGCTAGGGATATATGGCTTGGAGATTATGCAAAGCCAGTTTCTGCTGCTGAATTTCTGCCCTAAATAGCTAATGGCTTGGCTACTACCTTGTTGTTGAGTGGGGTGAGGCACTACAAAATTGCACAGCTGAGCAGGAAGGAGCCCCTTTAATTTTAGCTGGGCCTGCTACACTGCTGAGCTTTTTCTCTTCAAATACCAATTTCCTGCGGGCTCCTGTTCTCAAAAATCCCCTCCCTGCTGGGGAGGGGAGGGGGAGAAAGGGACATATCAAGGATAGAGAAAAATGGAAAAAGCTTTCTGCCTGGAGAGAGAGTCTTAGAAGAACCTTTTGCTTCTCTGAGCAGAGATGAGACACTGCCGTGTTGAGGCAGTCAATTCTATGAACAACTCCACCTGTTGGTACTACATTGTGAGCTAGGAGAGAGTGGGTTTTGGGGTATTTGTTTGTTTTTTAAAAGCTTGGAAGATTTTATGGATCATGGAGCATCAATTGTCCACAGCAGAGAAAGATTGGGAGGGCATACTGGGAATCTTAATTTTTTGTGTGTTTGAAGGCAGGAAGGAACAACATATTGCACTAATATATTTGTATATACTTTCATACGTAGGGTGTCTTTATATACATCTTCAGAAATTTGTTTTTGATGCTTGTTTAGATGCCTATTGAAAACTAGTTTTCACTGAATTTTATGTGCTTTGATATTAATATGAATTTAGATTTTCTGAAAGAAACAAAGCTGACCTGGAAATTTGTATTTATATTTGTTTTAGGGGTTGTTTCATTAGTGGCTGTTCATCCTTCTACAGTAAATACACTTGGAAAACAGCTCCTGCCAAAAACGTTTGGACAGTCTAATGTCAACATTGCACAGCAAGTGGTAAGGAGACTTTAAATTTTTGTTTTTTACCTTTGATTGTACATATTATGAATCTAACTGTGGTTCAGTGTAAATGCATCATATAAAGTATCAGTTATTATTTCTATGTAGAATGTACCATCTCGCTCTTCTGTATAGTAAGGGCTGTTTAGTATGACTTTAAATTGTACTCGGAACACTAGTTTTAATAACGTTGTTTTTGTGGGGAGAGGGAGCACGTGTTGGGCTAATCGTGCAGGTTATTGACAAAAACTACATCAACCCTCAACACTTCAGACTACTGAATATTCAAATTCCTCTACTGTCTATCAGTCTTTCTGTGATAAATCTGTGACACTTTCAAAACACACCAACCTGAAACTTTATCCAAAAGCCAATTTGCAAATATGTTATCGAGATCAAAATTGGAAAATCAATGGGATTTTTATGGGATTTTTTGGCCATATTTTAAAAAATGGTTATTTCAGACTTTTCTGCTGAAAAGCATATTGTAATTTTAAAAAAAGCAAAATGTGTATAGACTGGATAACTTAAGGAGCTAGTGCAGGGGTAGGCAACCTATGGCACGCGTGCCAAAGGCAGCACGCGAGCTGATTCTCAGTGGCACTCACACTGCCCGGTTCCTGGCCACTGGTCCAAGGGGCTCTGCATTTTAATTTCATTTTAAATGAAGCTTCTTAAACATTTTAAAAACCTTATTTACTTTACATACAACAATAGTTTAGTTATATATTATAGACTTAGAGAAAGAGACCTTCTAAAAATGTTAAAATGTATTACTGGCATGCAAAACCTTAAATTAGAGTGAATAAATGAAGACTCGGCACACCACTTCTGAAAGGTTGCCGACCCCTGAGCTAGTGATGAGATAAAAGTGGTTGTCTCTAGAATGCAAGTTCCAAATGCAATCCATATTACTGCAATAGCAAACAAAACTCTTCATTTGGTGAGCTCCATATGACATGAACTGATATTCTTATTCTGTTATATAGGGAGAGGTGTTACAGTTGGCTTCTCTGTAGAGACTAACTTTTGCCAAGGATTTTAATTTGCATAGAAACTGAATTATAGTCTTATCTGTAAAAGTGGTCAAGGTTGTTACATTTGCAAGACAGTGAGGGCACAGCTGCTGCCTTTACTGTACTGTTCTCTGGGGGAAAACAGGACTTCAACATAGCATCTTTCATAAGCATTTCATTTTATAAAAGAAAAAATAGGTTCCATAGTATAAAAACCTTTGAATTTGTGTGTGCGCGCATGGTTTAATGTGGATGGATTTTCAGTATATAAACAGAGCTAAAAGAATTGATGGGGAGGGGAACTGAGTAAGAGGTGGTGGTATTGCTGAGAGAATTCAAGAATCTACAGAGTTTTACATGCAAGCACTGCACTTCTTTAACTATACTTGTGTAGTTAAGAGAGTTCAACAATCGCCCCACTCCCCCCAGTTCAGACTGTACAGTTATACCAATATAGCTAATAGGCTAAACTGATTTGACTGCATCCACAGTAGGGATGTGGTAATCCACAGAAGTTGCATTTGTATAACTATTTCAGTTAGGGGTATGATTATTATTATTTTTTTAACTGAAATAGTTATATAGGTACAAAGTCTTTGTGTAGACCAATCCTAAGACAGTTCAGCTTCAGACAGTTCTCAAGAGTCCCCTCTGAGGTTGTGGACTACTACCTAATGAAATGTTTACATGACTGCAGACTATTTTATTGCATTGCAGTTCCTGTTATGAATTAAATCAGCTATTGATTTGATGTCACAGTGTAGTCGTATGAGGTAATAACTGAGTAAAAATTGGTCCTTTGTATGGGGCAAGTGTTGAGGCAGATATTTATGAAGTCATTGGGAGGTGAACTATCTCCAATTCAACAAGTTAATCATTAATACTTGGAGGATTTTCTTGCCCTGCTGTATTAGGAGGAGAACATCACCAGACAGACATTTAAATTGTTTTATTTAATTAAAACAGCAACGTTATGTATTCTAGATTTGTTTCTTCAACAGCAAACATATAATATTTTAACAAAAAAATCTTTTTTTTATTTGATTTTTTTTAAATCATTGATTTTTATCCACCCTGAAAATAACTCTAAATAATACCTCTGAATCTGAAAAAAAATTTTTTTTGGTTTTGACCCTCATTTTCTTCTCTGTAACACATGAAATATTTTCTTTGAAATAGATACAAGCAACTATAAAACATGGCTGTATTTTAAACATGTATTTACACTTAGGGTATGTCTACACTACGAAATTAGGTCGAATTTATTGAAGTCGGTTTTTTAGAAATCGTTTTTATACAGTCGATCATGTGTGTCCCCACACAAAATGCTCTAAGTGCATTAAGTCGGCGGACTGCGTCCACAGTACCAAGGCTAGCGTCGACTTTCGGAGCGTTGCACTGTGGGTAGCTATCCCACAGTTCCCACAGTCTCCGCCGCCCATTGGAATTCTGGGTTGAGATCCCAATGTCTGATGGGGCAAAAACAGTGTCATGGGTGATTCTGGGTACATGTCGTCAGCTTCCCCCTCCGTGAAAGCAGCGGCACACAATCGTTTTGCGCCTTTTTTCCTGGGTTACCTGTGCAGACGCCAAACCATGGCAAGCATGGAGCCCGCTCACCTCACCGTCACCGTACGTCTCCTGGGTGCTGGCAGACGTGGGACTGCATTGCTACACAGCAGCAGCTCACTGCCTTTTGGCAGCAGACGGTGCATTACGACTGGTAGCCATCATCGTCGTATTCCTGGGTGCTCTTTTAGCCAACCTCGGTCGGTCAGGGGTGCCTGGGCAGACATGGGAGTGACTCAGCCAGGTCATTCCCATCTTCTACTGAGCACCCAGGAGATGATGATGGCTAGCAGTCGAACTGCACCATCTGCTGCCAGCCTAAAGATGTAAAAGATAGATGGAGTGGATCAAAACAAGAAATAGACCCGATTTGTTTTGTATTCATTTGCTTCCTCCCTCTGTGAAATCAACGGCCTGCTAAACCCAGGGTTTTGAGTTCAATCCTTGAGGGGGCCATTCTGTGTGACAGTTGTTTGTGTTTCTCCTTGATGCAAAGCCACCCCCTTTGTTGATTTTAATTCCCTGTAAACCATGTCGTCAGTCGCCCCTCCCTCCGTAAGAGCAACGGCAGACAATCATTTCGCGCCTTTTTTCAGCCCAGATGCCATAGCACTGGGATCATGGAGCCTGCTCAGATCACCGTGGCAATTATGAGCACTATAAGCACCACGCGCATTATCCTGGAGTATATGCAGAACCAGAACCTGCCAAAGCAAAACCAGGCGAGGAGGCGACGGCAGCGCAGTGATGAGGACATAGACATGGACATAAACTTCTCACAAAGTACAGGCCCCAGCAATGTGCACATCATGGTGTTAATGGGGCAGGTTCATGCCGTGGAACGCCGATTCTGGGCCCGGGAAACAAGCACAGACTGGTGGGACCACATAGTGTTGCAGGTCTGGGACGATTCCCAGTGGCTGCGAAACTTTTGCATGCGTAAGGGCACTTTCATGGAACTTTTTGACTTGCTTTCCCCTGCCCTGAAGCGCCAGAATACCAAGATGAGAGCAGCCCTCACAGTTGAGAAGCGAGTGGCGATAGCCCTGTGGAAGCTTGCAACGCCAAACAGCTACCGGTCAGTTGGGCATCAATTTGGAGTGGGCAAATCTACTGTGGGGGCTGCTGTGATCCAAGTAGCCAACACAGTCAAAGAGCTGCTCATATCAAGGGTAGTGACTCTGGGAAATGTGCAGGTCATAGTGGATGACTTGCTGCAATGGGATTCCCTAACTGTGGTGGGGCAATAGACGGAACCGATATCCCTATTTTGGCACTGGAGCACCAAGCCAGCGAGTACATAAACCAAAAGGGGTACTTTTCAATGGTGCTGCAAGCACTGGTGAATCACAAGGGACGTTTCACCAACATCAACGTGGGATGGCCAGGAAAGATACATGACGCTCACGTCTTCAGGAACTCTGGTCTGTTTCAAAAGCTGCAGGAAGGGACTTTCTTCCCAGACCAGAAAATAACAGTTGGGGATGGTGAAATGCCTATAGTTATCCTTGGGGACCCAGCCTACCCCTTAATGCCATGGCTCATGAAGCCGTACACAGGCAGCCTGGACAGTAGTCAGGAGCTGTTCAACTATAGGCTGAGCAAGTGCAGAATGGTGGTAGAATGTGCATTTGGGCGTTTAAAAGCGCGCTGGCGCAGTTTACTGACTCAGATAGACCTCAGCGAAACCAATATTCCCATTGTTATTACTGCTTGCTGTGCGCTCCACAATATCTGTGAGAGTAAGGGGGAGACATTTATGGCAGGGTGGGAGGTTGAGGCAAATTGCCTGGCCGCTGATTACGCGCAGCCAGACACCAGGGCGGTTAGAAGAGTACAGGAGGGCGCGGTGCGCATCAGAGAAGCTTTGAAAACCAGTTTCATGACTGGCCAGGCTACAGTGTGAACGTTCTGTTTGTTTCTCCTTGATGACCCCCCCCGCCCTTGGTTCACTCTACTTCCCTGTAAGCTAGCCACCCTCCCCTCCCCCCTTCGATCACGCTTGCAGAGGCAATGAAGTCATTACTTCACATTCATGCATTCTTTATTAATTTATCGCACAAATAGGGGGATAACTGCCAATGTAGCCCGGGAGGAGGGAAGCACCGAGTGGGGTGGGGGAGGTGGGAAGGACAAGGCCCCATTGTACTTTAAAACTTAAAAGCTTTAAAACTTATTGAAGGCCAGCCTTCTGTTGCTTGGGCAATCCTTTAGGGTGTAGTGGCTGGGTGGCCAGAGGCCCCCCCACCGCGTTCTTGGGCGTCTGGGTGAGGAGGCTATGGAACTTGGTTACACAGGGGCTGTAGCGGCGGTCTGTGTTCCTGCTGCCTTTCCTGCAGCTCAACCATACGCTGGAGCATATGAGTTTGATCTTCCAGCAGCCTGAGCATCGACTCTTGCCTTCTGTCAGCA